TTTTCGTCAGCAAGGGATTCTCTTTGTTTTCTGGTCAGCTAAAGCTGCATCTGCTGCATTAGAAGGAAAAAGGGTCAGCGGGACAGAAGATAACATGCAAAAGAGTGATGAGCCTGATACAAAAATATATGGAAGGGATGAGCTCTTGGCTCGTTTACAGTTTGAGGCAGAAGAGATAGCCCAAATGAGGAGGAAATCAAGCTCCAGTAGCAACAGCACCTCATCCAGTGTTCAATCTCCTGTTGGAAATGCCAAAGGAACATCAGCAGTAAAGAATGTAGTTGTGGGATTTGTGGGATATCCTAATGTTGGAAAAAGCTCTACTATTAATGCTTTGGTAGGCCAGAAGAGGACTGGTGTTACCTCTACTCCTGGGAAAACAAAGCATTTCCAAACCTTAGTAATTTCTGATGAGCTGACTCTATGTGATTGTCCCGGATTGGTGTTCCCATCTTTCTCAAGTTCAAAATATGAGATGATTGCTTCTGGGGTGCTGCCAATTGACAGGATGACGGAGCATAGGGAGGCTGTGCAGGTTGTAGCTAATCGAGTTCCGAGGCATGTTATTGAGGGTGTTTACAAGATTAATCTGCCTAAACCGAAGCCATATGAACCACAGTCTAGGTCACCACTGGCAGCTGAACTTTTGCGAGCTTATTGTGCTTCTCGTGGGTATGTTGCCTCTAGTGGACTACCAGATGAAACTAAAGCAGCCCGGCAAATATTGAAGGACTACCTTGATGGAAAGCTGCCTCACTATGAAATGCCACCGGGGATGTCTAATGAGGATGATGTTGTGGAAGATGGTGGGAAATCCAGTTTATCTGAACTGCAAGAGTCAGATGCATCTGAGGACGAAGAAGTTGAGGATGTTGAAGATGGTCTGAAAAATGAAGGTGAAAGTGCACCTGTTCTAGAACAAGTGCTGGATGATCTTAATTCATTTGACCTGGCCAATGGTATGGCTTCAAAGAAGGAGAAGGTTAAGAAATCCACTACATCTCATAAGCAACACAAGAAGCCTCAGAGGAAGAAAGATCGTTCATGGAGAGTCGGGAATGATGATGGTGATGGAATGCCAGTAGTCAGAGTCTTCCAAAAGGCAGTAAACACAGGCCCTCTAAGTGTCGAATGAGGCATCCACAGAAAGATGACAGTCTAACCTGAGCATTTTCCAAGTGAGATTAGGCTCTTCCAGTGTTTTCTCCACTAGTGTACCATTTCTCTTGGATCTCTGCTCTAGTCTCAACAAGGAGAAGAGATAGAAAATGTATTCATATATGGTTTATATAGCTGAATCACCGGCATGGTGTTGAGGTGCCGTTGTTACTTGAGAAGATGCATGGTTGGTGCATATTTTTGTTATTTGTATTTTGTCTGCTAAATTTCTTAAATACACAATATGATCGTACTTAATATAAATTATTTTCTTAAACATATATATACAACTCACAAGAATTTAACCAAGTTTTATAGAGTACTACTTAAAAAAAAAAAAAAATTAAATTTGAGTTATGAGGTCAGTGCTTGGCGAATCTGAACATTGGACCTGGAGTTTGACAAAATGGAAGGAAGCATGAAAATATTGAAATGAAGCCAAGCCAAGAATTATTCATGACACAAGCCATAAACCCAACAATAACAAAAGACAAGTGATGTTCCGTAAGGCAGAAAACCCAAATTCACCTCCAAATAATAGTGATAGATACGGATCCACTTCTAAATAAAAAGAAAAAAATAAATCCACCAATAAAATTTTTAATTTGGATAAATTATCTTAAATTTAATGTGTGATGTCATTTAATATTAGCAATCCATTAATTTAACATCATCTGATATCAACAATTTATTATCAATGACATAACAAATTAACAGATTGCTGACATTAGATGACATCACAAATTAAATTTAAGATAATTAGTTTATATCAAAAATTTTATAAATAAATTTATTTTTATTTTTTTGTTTGAAATGAATCCTTCCTTACCATTATAGTTCGGAGGTAAATTTGGATATTTTACCATCCCATAATGTACTCCTTTCGCGTCCTACATTTTTAATCTGTGAAAACAAATATATTATTATGAGACGGGAAAGGTATTTACGGTATCAAATCTTGGTCTT